TTTTTTTTTTTGGTTTTTTTCTTAATATTCTTAATCCCTTAAAAAATTTTTTGGTTTTTTTCCCAAAAAAAAAAATGTTTTTTCCCCAAAAAAAAAAAAAAAAAAAAAAAAAAAAAAAAAAAAAAAAAAAAAAAACACGAACTTTTGAATTCCTCGCAGTACAATAAGAAAAGGTCTTCATAAGAATAAATTTATTTTCACATATTTAATTTTCGTCCACTTACATTAATGTTTTTCAAATTCATCTCAATAAAATCGACATCATCTTTTTCTGCTCAGTATATTTTGTATACTTTTTTTTTTACTTTTTCTTTAACCCACTGAAAGGATTGACTGGAAAAATACTTCAAATCTTGATGAGTTTTTTCTTACGATTTTTAAATTGGCAGTGAATCAGGAAATGTTCTTAAAATTCATCAAATTCATTTAATGACAATGAAAAAAGAATTAAACATACATGTAAGTCCCAGTTCTATGGCATACATGAAGTCTCTGACAACAGTAACAAAATAATCTAGCTAGTTAATGTTTGACCTGTAAAATGTCAACTTATTTGGAAAAACAGAGAGTATACTATGTCCGAAATAATTTCTAGGAGTGAAATATCATCGGCAAAATAGGGACGTCTTGTTTGGAATGAAATCCGTCTCAAACACAACAGGTGACGTTTTTGCAGCCTGGCTCCATTGTGTTAGGTGTGACAGTTGTGTTGGAACTAATTTATATCTTGTTTTCATTGTGTTAGGTGTGACAGCTGTGTTGGAACTAATTTATATCTTGTTTTCATTGTGTTAGGTGTGACAGCTGTGTTGGAACTAATTTATATCTTGTTTTCATTGTGTTAGGTGTGACCAGACCAGGGGTCACTGTTGGGATGGACACACGGCGACCCTTACACCACTCTAAGTAACTGTCAAAAATACTTCCATTATCTTGACCAAAGACCAAATATAATCAGTTCTAGATTTCGCAGGGAGGAATCATTGACATTTCCATTTTTTTTTTGTCAAAATATTGGTCGACTTTACTCGGTAACGGTAACTTATAAATTTAATGACGCTTAATCAGTTTTAGCTGCGTTTTTGAAATATGCTTTGGCAGCTTTTCATTAGGAAATGGAATTCCTTGACAGAAGAAAATGTTACGTGAGGAAAATAGGAAAATTCTACACGTAGGCAGGAAGGATTTAGAAATGCACTGCAGTTAGTTTAAGACAATTACCATAGGACCAATTAGGTTGATATATTTTCTTCATATTGATAAGTTTGCAGTGTACGTGGAAAACAGATTTTTCATTATCTTGAATAAAATCTGCAGAAACGGTGTCAGTATTTCTTTCATTTTTTTTATTTATCATTTTTTTTTTTTTTTTTTGCTTCTTACAGCTTGTCTACGGGTTATGGCACATATCTTTTAAACTGTTTTTTATCTCTTTTCAATTATTGTTGATTTATTTCCATATTGGTGTACACTACAGTTTAAAACAGTACATATAATAGGACATGTCTAGATTATACATATATATATATATATTTTTTATAAATGAAATGTATGCTTCACTCACGTGACTGGGTTGTCCCTTTTTTAATGGAATGGCCCCTTTTTTGCTCCTGAACTTTTCATCGTGTTTACCTCAATATAAACTTATAAATTAGCACGGAGTGCCTGAATGGACCGGAGTAGACAAGAGCAGGTGGAGATAAAATTGTCCTCATCTTCTTTATATTTCCCCACCGCCATGATACAAATACAGGGGTCCGCGGATCTAGAATGACACCACTGGGCAAAGGGGGAGGGGGCAAAAAGGTTGAACCTTCTCTATTGCAAATGTCCCGATTTAATGAGTGAAAATCCTGATCGATTATGTTACTGATTTAATGCAACGGGTTTAAAAAAAAAAGATAAATGCCGCGATGCGAACCGACTGAAGCTAGACGTTTTAAGGGAAAAACACGCTTTCAAACAAAACAAAAAAGGGGGGAGGAAATAGTGTCATAGATATAGATTTGATGATTCAAGGGCTACTAGATGATTCAAATAGGGTTGGAACTAATGTCGATCAAATTACAGTACTGTTTCGGTTTTTTAATGTCCGAATTAAAGATACCCTCGATAAACGTACTGGGAGTAAATTACCGTATGACCGCGTATGGCTTATATAGATATTATCTCATTTGAAACGAATGAAAGCCTGAATTTTAGATGATGAAGGTTATATAAAACATCATTCGAATTAATGCTTAGCATTTTTTCCGTTTTAACTGTTATTATATTCAATTGGATTCATCACTTTATGTCAATTGTAAATATGTTGTAGAGCGGTTCTCTGTTAGTTCCTCCGTATAGCAAAATACTTTAGGAAAGAGGTCCCGGGTGCGTCAATATTTCCTAATCACTTGATTAGACTACATTTGGGGCTATTATACGCTTGATTGAGAGTAATATACCGGTTTTCAGTAGCTCAAACCGGTAATATCCAGTTAATATTATGCCGTGCCCCATTAAGGGAAGATGCGTACAGTTTATATAACGGGACATAGAATAGAGAGCCAGATACATTGACAGCCGTCAGAAAGGAGACAAGTACCCACTTTGGTAGAATACCTGGTTGAAGATGAAGTTCTTAGTTGTCGTCATTTGTGTGGTTGGTGCTGTATACGCAGGTATAGAAAGAGCATATTTATACTACCGAAAACTTAAAAAAGAAAAAAAACTTCTTTGAAGTTTTAGCATAAAATTTCACAATTGCTAAGAAATGTTTTTTTTTCGTCAAATTTAAAAATTTAAAAATTGTTTGATGAGTCGAATTCTACACACACTATAAACACGTGCAAACACGAGTTAACCATGATGCCCGCATGCTGCAGCCACATCGACTTCGGCGCTTTTTGATTGTGAGTTATCGCTTTTTTAAATTTTGTGCATTTTTAAATCGTTTGCAGGACAGTGTCCCAAAACGTGCAAGGAGAAGGAGGCAGAATTTGACGCTTTACCACCTGCGCTTGGCCGAGAACGGCCAATCTGTACCCCCGAGGGCACGTTTGCCATGAAGCAAAACAGAGGTTCTATGTGAGTTGAGAGATTTTCACGCGTGATGTTATTTATAATTTCTAATATGGAAGGAGAAGCAGAAATTATTTGCTCGGTTCATTAATTGGTGGAGGAGCGACAGTCACCCCGATTTGCTCGAGCAGGAAAACCTTTACGACCGAGTAGCGCGATAGATTGAGAAAATGCTGAGATAGATACTAGAGCGCGGTTAGCAATTATTGAAGGTGGGGTAAATACACTCACAGGGACTTGAATGCGCAAATACAGTTGCAAACGGACACATATATACTGTGTATACAACCTCACAAAAACGCACGCACGCAAGCACGTACATGTACGCACTCACACACGTGCATGCACACGCACGCTGCCCTGTCCTATTAACACAGATAAATAATATAATATAAAATCCTGCTATTAGTCTAAAAAAGTACACTGAAACAGTGGTCGGAATAGTTTGGCCAGTCCTCGGTCAGTGGCGTAATCTAGCTTTGTATCGTTTCAGGAGTTATTGTGTAGATGAATGTGGGGTCCGACTGGCGGACTATGTTATGAAACAAAGATGGGTCCGTCATGACTGCTGTGAGTATATGCGTTTATGTTTTATAACTGAGCTGTTACTATTGACTTTACGTTTGAAATCTCGCGCGAGATTTGTTGCTTTACGAGACCTGTCTTCCTCACGGCTTGGCTTAAGAGTTTAACATTTCACAAACGATTAGTTTCATTGCAATTGCTATACCTTAGTGGCTTCGCCCAGCCCTAAAAAGGAGAGTAGACCCCTGTGCGACATTTCTTTTAGATAATCTTTATGTCCCAAAGTATCGTAGGTTAAGTGTCGAAAAGAAACATGACGTCATTGTGACGTCATTCATGGCTTTGATGTTGCTCAGGCGTCTACATAATATGTTGTTGCTTCATGATGTGACTTTGAATTGGCCGCAGCTTTTATCTTCTGATTCCAGCGTGCGCTCGTGACAAAGCCGATGCTGGAATTTACACAAAGCATCCAGACTGCGATAGATATGGTAAGTCCATGGCCATCTGTTCAGGGATACTTCAAAGCCAAAGTTTTTGCTGTTTATTGTGTTATTGAAACAAAATTTGGTAGTGTAACGTCTGTGTCCGGTGTTGGAAACCAAGGGTTGGGGAGGATGTTTGGGCGTGGTAAAGATCTGTAGGTGTTTTGAAACAAGTACAATGTTTTTCGCGTTGACTTTAAATAACCGTATTTTAGAGCTCTCTTACAAGCTTATTTTAACCACTTTTTTTACTTTCAGGGGCTTACGCCGCTCGCCCGAAGGTCTAAGATGAGATGGAACACATCAACGGTTACTTCTGAATCAAAAGAACTGAGTGGATATGAATGAGATCCAACTCTTCAAAAACTGCTACGTAGATTTAAGTTTCTATGAATTATATATTTACCAAAAAAATGACCTATGCTGTGACAAACTTTGTTAGAGAACAGCAATAATAAAATGAATCTAGCTTAAAATATTTGTCCATTCACTATTAAGCTCTTACATAGGATAAGCAACTCTGCTTGATCTATAACTTAAATTCTTGAAACACACACGTTTTAAAAGTAAATTGTTTTGGTCTTCAAATGGAAATGTGTGCAAAGAAATGTTTTCCATAATTGACTTTTTTGTTGCCTTATTAAATAATGTTTCGGTCTATTGCCCAATAACGTAGTGTTTGCCCGACATAAAATGTACAAATCAACAAAAAAGTGACAGGAAGTTTTGAATTCCTCGCAGTACAATAAGAAAAGGTCTTCAAAAGAATAAATTTATTTTCACATTTGATTTTCGTCCACTTACATTAATGTTTTTCAAATTCATCTCAATAAAATCGACGTCGTCTTTTTCTGCTCAGTACACTTTGTATACTTTTTCTATAATCCACTGAAAGGATTGACTGGAAAAATACTTCATATCTGGATATGAGTTTTTTTCCTACCATTTTTAAATTGGCAGTGAATCAGGAAATGTTCTTAAAATTCACCAAATTCATTTTATGACAATGAAAAATTAAAAAAAAAAATTCCACATAAGTCCCAGTTCTATGGCATACAATAAGTTCCTGGCAACAGTAACAACTAAATCTAACTAGTTAATATTTGACCTGTAAAAATGTCAACTTAGTTGGCAAAAATAGAGCTATGCCCGAAATAACTCCTAGGAGTGAAATATCTCTGTCAAAATAGGGACGTCTTGTTTGGAATGAAATCCATCTCATGCACAACATGTTGTGCTTTTGTAGCCCTGCAGTGAATTTTGAAACAATATGTACAAGTCTCCACAGTGTTTACATACTTATATCTTAGATGTTATAATTCATCTTTCTTCACATCATCTAAAGGTTCCAGTTCTACATCACTGAGATCAATTTCTTCTTCAACTTCAAGCTGAAAGAAAAAAAAATAACATCACATAGACAACAAAATATGAACCAGACAACACTCAACATTATATAATAATAATAATAATAATAATAATAATAAAGAATTAAAAAATAAAGTAATGTTATAAGCTTAAACTTTTCCTTTCAACTCTAAATAAAAGCTAACACCTTGCAGATATTTCCATCACTCCGTGTCTTTCTTCAGAATGTGAAAAATTACAGCTTGTATGATCATCAGCAGACTACACATCAGAAATTGAGAATTATACAAGAGATGCTGGTTCTCTCTTCAATATTAACTTTTTTAATAGCAGGCTGGATGCCAAGTTTTATTTTATTTCCACTTTCAAAAACCTAATAATCTTCCTATATTAGATAAAATCCATGCTTGCATAAATGCCATTTTCCTAAGATACACAACCAGTAACTTGCAATCATCATTTTCATAATGCCTCATCTTTAAGGCTACTTGGCCCTATTGTGCCAGAACATGTATAATGTGTTCGTTCATTCATTATCTTAATACCTAGCTGTAATGGCTACTAGGCCCTACTGTGCCAGGAATGTGTAAAATATAAAAGTTGAATCAATATAATTTTTTGTCACACATCTTCAGTGAAACCACTGTGCCTCACTATGCCCTCAACATGTATAGTTTAAGTACAAACCTTTCCATCCTTGCCGTCCCAAGGGTCGACCTTTTTAATAGGTGGCAGCTGGGCATTTTTAACTGGAGACGTGGAACCTCGACCAACTGAGAGCTCCCTATAGGGAAAAATAATNTCTTCAGTGACACCACTGTGCCTCACTATGCCCTCAACATGTATTGTTTAAGTACAAACCTTTCCATCCTTGCCGTCCCAAGGGTCGACCTTTTTAATAGGTGGCAGCTGGGCATTTTTAACTGGAGACGTGGAACCGCGCCCAACTGAGAGCTCCCTATAGGAAAAAACAATAATAATATTGGAACAAATAAGGCAAAATCAGCTACAATACAATAATGGTTCATTGTAAAATTTTCTTCACTTTCATTAAGATCTTTCTGATAATGAGATGCAATGCCGTGATAGCTACTGAGTGGGAAGACATGCCCGTGATAAAAAAAAAAAAAAAAAAAAAAAAACTGCTGAACTCTACTTTCTACCAAATAACCTCGATTACTTTCTTCTAAACTGAAAACTGTTCCAGCTCGGATCTAGCTTCTTTATGAAAAAACCTACCTTAAGAAGAAATTAATGCCAAACTTTGCTAAAGGCTCCTCTCAGAATGGCATACTTTATTTTTCTGGCATTCATGGCAGCCATTTTGATCTAGCCCTCTTTCTATTTGAGAATACCTACCTTAAGAAAGAATTAATGCCATCTTTGCTAAAGGCTCCTCTCAGAATGGCATACTTCATTTTTCTGGCATTCATTGCAGCCATGGCCTGGAAGTACAATTTGTGTAATTTCAGACAACTGTTTACTTATAAATTTGTTTGTGAGCTCATTATTCATTTATTTATTTATTTAGTTGTTCACTTATCAATTTAATTGGCAATGTTCACTATTTTATTCACCTATCAATTTATTTATTTATTTATTTAGTAACTTGTCTCATTGTTATATTCATTTATCTTTCGGTTCTGTATCATTTATAAATCAATCACTTATTTACAAGTCAATAACCTTATGCATAGATTGATAAATTAATATCTTGTTAAGGCTACTTACAGGGTAACCAAAGCCCCCAATCCCCAGGGAGTCTTCCAGCTCAGGCTGCTGCATGGCCTCAGCCCACACCCAGCTGTACAAGATACAGGAAATTACCATAAAAATTCAATCTTTTCAATTGGAGATAATTGTGAATTTTACATAAATTGTATTTTTAAGTCATAATTTTTTTTAAATTGAAACATTCCTATTGAGTTATACCAACAAAATTAAAAAGCTGACTATTCTGTAAGTAGACAGTTCTATTCTATGCAATAAATGAACCACAGGTGCTATACAGAACTATATTTTAATGATTACAGAATTATGTATCTAAAATTTTGATTTTTTTTTTTTGCCCATTGTAAAGATCAAGTAATAACTATTTCTTTTATATAATAAATGAAAAGACAATTAAAATTTGAAAGATCAATTTCATAAACTGATGCTTTCAATGACATCTGCTTTTGAAGTTAGACAATACAATTTACAATAAATCTCTTTTCTTAAGATACCCAAACCATAATTAATACCAATCTAATCAACCCCTTTCCCATAATTTTTTTAACTGGCAAAATTGACCCTATTCCTAACTGAAGCACTGCAATTTATAATTAAAATTATAAGGAAAATATCTGAACTGACAAACAGACAAACAAACTCCACAATTTTAAAGGTTCAGTGTCCTCAGTACATACCCCCATTGCTTTCCCTTATACTTGTCTCCAAGTTCTTTCATCACATCCAGATATTTGTTCCTACATTCTGACTGACAGTCCAGGATATGTGGAAGAACAGCTATGATACACAGAGGGTGGTCCTCACAGGCATCTTTGAGACTTTTCTCTTCTGTGATCTGGAAAATAAGTATCACAAATATAGATACTGTTGTGATGTCTTAAGGTCTAAGCTGTTGTTAATATGGTGATGTCTATATAACAGACATGAGACTAGGTTCTGGAAAAAATAAAAAAAAAAGAGAGAAAAAAAAACTCTGAACATTTATATTGAGACCAAACACCTAACCAGATAGAACCATCAGAATTGAATTAAAAAATGCAGAATTCAGCGATTCCCTGGAAAATGCTCAAGTCTGACATATCCTGCAAACCTTCCAATATTTCCTTTTAAAAGTTCTTTTTTTCCTGTGAGGAAAGTTTGAAATGGTGCGAAAATCCCAGCTGGGATGCCCTACCTGTACTATCTCAGGGGGTGGCAGGTTCTCCACTATCCTGTCCGAGGCCCAGCGGACAATATCAGACGCCGTTCTCCCACCATCGTACTCGATGGTGTCGCCATCTTTTTTACCAGCAGGGAAGGCCTTGATTGTCGGGTAGCCACGGACCTAAATAAAGAGAAAATTTGATGTTTTCTACTTTCAGATGATTGATCCATCATGTCTATGCTTCAAAAATACTTTAAAATTTTTTTGAGATGTAGGAATCTTTAACAAAACCAACCAAGTTAAAAAATCTTCAAGAGAAAAATTGGATTTTTTCAAAAAAGCATACCCTACATCTGCTTAGAATTACATATTTTCTAAAAAATAATAATATTTTTCATGTAAGGAATTTTGAGAAAAAATGTAAGAAAATATATTTTAAAAAAATTTTACTCCATGTGTACGCCATTAAATTTCCCTGAGCAAAATACAAATTTTGGTGAATTCTTTATCCAAACTGAAGAACTTCTAAGAAAATTACCCCATATCTGTTAGCCATCACAGTATGCACAGTGGCATCCAGGGCGCCCAGTTTCACTTTCCCTTTCAGCTCAGAGGCGGCTTGCTCCCAGTGTGGTGCCAGGTTCTTACAGTGGCCACACCAGGGGGCGAAAAACTCAACCAACCAGAAGTCTTCACTGTTCAAGACAAGCTCCTCAAAGTTGCTGTCCGTGAGCTCTATTACTGCCTTGCCACCTCCCTGGAGATAGAGAATTTAATGTCATGTATCACAGTGTATGACATTTTGAAAATGGCCCGCCCCTGTAAAAGGGGTCTTTGAGGGAAAAAATTATTAAATAAGCAAATAAGATGATGTCGCCCTACCTCCTCACAAGATTTCTGTACTTCTACATTCTATAGAATATTATGTTTAAACATATAATTGACAACATTTAATCCAATTCATTTCAACTTATTCTGGTCCTTGTGCATACACTGACCTTGTACAGTACATTATAATATTATTATGTAAATATCTATGATATATCAAACATTATGCAAAAGGATATTTCCCTAAACTACCTATTTTTAAGATTACAAGCTAGAAGGGGGGTACAATGTTTAAAGATGAAATCAAATGTAGAACTAATATTACTCTTATTGTTTTAATTTATCTCACCTGACTTCCTCCTCCGCTGCTCCGCCCACCACCAGAGCTGCCACCTCTTCCGCTAAGTCTGGCTTGCACCATCTGCTTAAGATGTGACATAGCAGAATCTACTATGGCATTGGCACTTCTTGCTCCTAGAAATATGGAATGGAATTAAGTATATATAACACGATGTGATGGGATCAGTGCATGGGCAGAGACGATGAGGGAGACTGAAGACTAAGCTTGAAGACAATATTAAAGAAATATGGTGGAGAAAGAGAGAAAAGCACAGGACAAGAGGAAGTGGAAGCGGACTGTGCAAGGGGCCACGACAGTACGAAATAAAACTTTTCATAACTGATGATGAACACTATGTCTCTACAAATTAATATATAATACATACAAAGCAATATTTTGTAACGTAAGTTAACTTTGTAACTTTAACAAAGCAGATTGCCTCTACTCCTGCGTTGAATATTTCTGTGCTAGCTGGTACGTTTTACTCCTCATAGAATGGCCTATGTCAGAAAGACTACAAAACATAATATTATATGCCTACCTCAATAAGCCATCTGATTCAACTACTATTAACTTATAATTGGGTTACTGTGTTTTTTAATATTTCTAAGAGAAATGGCCTATGTCAGAAGGACTTCAAAATATATATGCCTACCTCAATAAGCCATCTGATTCAACTACTATTAACTTATAATTGGGTTATTGTGTTTTTTTATATTTCTCAGAGAAATGGCCTATGTCAGAAAGACTACAAAACATAATATTATATGCCTACCCCAATAAGCCATCTGATTCAACTACTATTAACTTATAATTGGGTTATTGTGTTTTTTTATATTTCTAAGAGAAATGGCCTATGTCAGAAGGACTTCAAAATATATATGCCTACCTCAATAAGCCATCTGATTCAACTACTATTAACTTATAATTGGGTTATTGTGTTTTTTTATATTTCTCAGAGAAATGGCCTATCTCAGAAAGAGTGCATAATACATGCACCTACCTCAATTATTCGCCTCATTCAAGTTCTATTAAAGGGATAATAACTCTTCTTATGAGATCTATATTTCTCAATAAAAACATTGTGAATAACTCACAGAAATATAATATATTCTGTTTTACCACAAAAACGGCAGTTATAGCTATTATTCTGATATCTGAGCTTGTCTTTAGACCACGTGACCTCCATTGATGGCTATACTCTGTTAAAATCTCTTACTAGTAAGAGATTTTAACAAAAAACCAAACTTTTTAGAAAAAAACCAGGGACTAACTTTGAATGTAAAAATGGATTCATTAACCATTGGTAACTATGGGTAAATTGTTGTTTACTCCAGGAAAATTCATTTTTTGGCCGAAACAATGAGTTATTATCCCTTTAAGTTATAGCAGGGGGAAACCTACTGGTACGGCCATAATCTGACCACCTGAAGAAATGGGGATGCCTAGACTTTGTTTCAGCCAACAAGACTGTAGACATAATTTCAGAATGATTTCCAGTTCAACACAATCTCTTGAGGTCAAAGGTCAAACTCACCATTATAATCTTCAGCTTTGTTCTTATTGGCTCCAAATATTTTGATGGTAGGGAATCCCCTGATGCCGTAAGGTCCCCCCACAGACTGGTGCTGGTCCATATCCACTGCGCCTACATTGACCACACCCTGGAAATAAATTAGGTCATTAAAGTTCAAGGTCGATTCAAAGTTCAAGGTCAGTTCATAGTTCAAAGTCACCGATTTCATCTTTCATAATCACCAACATTAACTGCACACGAGTTCAATCAGTTCATGGAATATCAATTTTAATGTTCAAGGTCAATTATTTTTTCTTTTAATTTTTTAACAACCCATATCTACATGTATGTACCACACCCTAGAATTGGGACTCATTTAGTTCACTACTATTTCTTATATTTACCTTTAAAGCTGTAGCTGCCTTCTTCCATTCTGGGGCCAAAGACTGGCAATGACCACACCTTTATATTAAAATATAAATAAATGTATTTATCATTTTATAATTTCTAAACTGAGAGTACAGGAGCATCCGGGACTGCATAATTTAGGACAACTAAGGATTATAAAACAAGATTATTTTCATTTATTTATTATTTTTTAAAAGCTGGAATTGACTTTATACCAGATGATAATCAGCATATCCAGATGAGAGATTAATTGTTTGATATCTTCAGGCATATAAATTTAAAATGTTTCATAAATTTCTGCATAAATTATGGTTATTTTATGCAAAATGCAAGCTGCCACTATACTATTATAACACCATCAGTTTCCTTTTGTTAATAATTACATTTCTAATATTTACCACTTCAGGTTTTACATGTCCAAACAACACACTTGAATGATACGCAATACTCACCAAGGAGCGTAAAACTCAACAAGCCACAACTGATCACTTTGTATCACTTTTTGATTGAAATTAGCTGCCGTTAATTCTATCACATCATCAGAGCTGCTGTACAGAGCACTGGTCACTGAGATCAGACCGCAGATTAACAGTCCTAGGAAAGTAGAAGATCTAGAAGATAATCCCTGACCATGAAAACAAGAGTTTATTGTGCTCTATATGTATGTTTTTCAATTAGTCAATTAGCTCATTTTTTTTTTTTTAGCTTTACTCTGAATCAAATTAACTTACTCAGCAATTAATTTTCATTTTCAATTATCAGTCCTAGGATAGTAGAAGATAATCTTTGATCACAGTAAAATAGTTTAATTTACTGTGCACTAAATGTATTGTCAATATGTCACAGGCCAAACAACAAAGCTACTACTACTAGCCAGTTTTGTAGAGCTTTAAGAAGGCTGAACCCTCTTCTACAAGATAATAAGCTTACAGAGAACTAAATAATTAAGTCAAATTAATCCCTTTTTATGCAGTCAATGACAAATTCACCACTGACACCAGTAAATGCATTAGCACTGTTAAACTGTGTGCCTGCTTAACCTTTGACTTAACTTCAAAAAACTAGATTTAGGTTAAGAGAGATTTTACTTTCTATCAGCCTTGTGATGCACATGTTGTTTACAGTCAAAACATTAAGGCCAATTCCTTGCTTACATCTTAATGAATCTTACCAATATAGAAATATTATCATTATAACTTTGAGAAATAAAAACAAATAATCAGTTTTTTTTTCTATGATCTTTTGTTTGAAATTATTATTATTTATCATTTTCAGTTTTGCCAGACCTAAGCGTCAACACATTAGGGCGTCATATTCGAAGACGACATAATAAACAACCTACAAGGACGACAAAGAGAGCATCTTTTAAAATAAGAACACGAAAACGGGGTAATCACGCTCACTCTTCCTTCTTCACGGCTGCAACTTGATCAAACCTTTGGGATAAGGTTAGGGATTCCCCATTGCAAACGACTCCCTTGGTTTTTCCCTTCACGTAAAAAAAATGATAAAATGTGCCTCAAACTCACCTGCTATCGCTTGCATCTTGTAGAGGCGCTACCCAATCAAGACGTCAACCTGATTCAACTTCTTTTGTGCTGAGTTGTTTTAAGAGGGATTCCCTATATTTTAGAACACGTTAGTTTGTTCGTGGCCCGATTCTATTGGTCGAGCGCATGCCGCTACATCACTTCCGCTGTAACGACAACAAACTAGCAGAAGTAGGTACGTCAATGTACCACGTGATTAAACATGGTGTCTTGATTTTTACGTGAAACGGGAAGGTTTTGTTTTTACATAATTTCAAACACACTTGACCGCTTTCATTGATGCATATTGGAGTCGATGGTTCTGCAGCCAAAAGGGAGTTAGCATACGCAAATAATTGGTGAGTAAATTTGAGATATTTGGAGATTTATAGCAATAAACCTGGGCCGGGGTCGTCCATCCTTTCTCAGCGTGTTCGGCACGATGTTTGATCAGAAACTAAGAACTTCTTGTCTTCGTTTTCTTAGAAATAGGATAGATCCAAGTTACAAAAATTCTGATTGAGTGCATTTCAAAGGGTACATGCCATGATCAAGACATTATTTCAACAAACTATCGATGCGATATCAAAATGATATTATTTACTTTACGTTGACTTATTTAAAAAATAATCACATCCACTGATTCAGCAGATGAAAAATGATATGTCACATATGAATATGGTCAGCATGATCCTGTGTTTTTATTCCTTGATGACTATCAAGAGGTGCTTTGAAAGGAACAGTGCTTTATGGGATGAACTGAAATTTTCTTTCAGAGGTATTCTGTAAAGCTTTGCAGTCTGCAAGTCTGCATTTGGGGGGGGGGGTCCGTTAGTTCGCAGTGGGCTTAGACATGCTGGTTTTCACTAGTTCTTGTCAGTTTTGCCAATCCTGCACAGTTTATGTTGTATTATAAACCGTCCAACTTGCAATATTGGGTATCCAGTTCTTAAAAGTTCTTCCTCTTTCTTGTTTCCCAGGTACCCTATACAGTATGATTATGATATCTATTATATGAGCCAAACTCAGTTCAGCTCAGTAATTAGGTATTTTTGTATATGATTACAATATTCCAGGCAATTCCAATCCTGTTGATATGAGATGAGTGATACTAAACGTGATAAGGATGTAGAGACAGAGGTTGATGTTCCAGCCCCTAGTGTCACAACGTCACCACCAGATGTCTCTAGTAGTCCCCCTGTTTCTGTAACATCATCGCTGCTCACGACTGACGTCACTGCTGCTGCTACTGCTGTCAAGGATGATGTGGTGACAGATGTCTCTGGCCCCAGCGATATTCTAGTCAATGCTCCAGCCTGGAATGTTGATGAGGTACAGTTTTGTGGTGATGTATGGTATGGTGTTATATGATATTCTAGTGGTTTTTGTATGGTTTGGTTCAGACAGGATATGGCATGTGGTGAAGTCTTGTTTGGCACTGCTGGTGTAGTTAGTGTGGTATTGTGTGATATGGTATGAAATGGGATTGTGTAGTAAACTAATATATAATGCCATGGTATAATATAATATGGTATGTTATAGGTATGGCAACTGAAATAGTATCCTTTGTTCCAGTGTGGTGTGGTTTCATATGATATTATTGTATGTTAGTGTATGTAGAATGGAATTAAGCAGAATACTCAGTACAAAAAACTTGGACTTAGCTTTTGCTTATCTCTAGTAGAAAATTTATACCAAAGTTGTTTTTCCTAAGAACTAGAAATGGGCTTGTAATGCTGCTAATTTATAGACAAGGAAAGGTTTTTCGTTGACATCAATCCCTTATTTTGGTGAAGTGAATATTTAAAGCATAACTTTTATTATTCAGTTTGTACTTTTTTTTTGATTTTTAAAAAATATAAATTGTCTTTTATTTGATTTATAAAACCATGTTTTTAGAAAAACCCATTCAATGACGTGAGTGAGGAACACATGAGCCAACTGGACTTGGTGCTGCAATCTGAAGAAGTCCAACATATTCTCCAACACCTCCCCCAAGAAACCGGTGCTACAGGGAACAGTGCAAATATGGCCGACAACCTGGCCCAGAGCTCACAGGGAGAGGACAAGGAAAAGGTTGTAATTGATGTGGGATCTGCTGACATTGATGATAGTTTTAGTGGTAAGTCCTATACTGATTTTAATTTGTTGGATACTTCACTTTTGATAGCATCTTCTTCAGTAGCTTTGGGTAATACAGAACTCTCGGCTGGTAGGTTGAGAGTTCAATGTATCAATCATAGTCTAAATATAGTCATTGGAGGTTGTATGTTTAAATTACCTGGTTGTTAGAATTTTTTAGGGATGGGGGGAGGGGGGGGATAACTGAGCCAATTATGTAAAAATAAAGTTGTGCAGTCATAGTTTTCCAGACATGAAATTCTTTTGCAATTTTTGAAATTCATTGCAGTGCTTTGAAGATTTTGCCTTGTTGTTTACAACACGACCATTTATTATTTTTAATACTATCTGATTTATTAATTTTATTGTAGGCATGTTTTCTGACACCAGCCTGGTGGTGGACACGGGAGATGAGAGCAAGGCAGAGGACGCCATGGACACCTCCACCGAGGAACCTCTGAAAGTGGAGGAGGCCCAGGATTTTGAGCTGGATGATGCAACTGCTGAACACATTTTGAAGGTATATTTTAGATGACAAACTTTTATCTCACCTAATACAATGTACATTGTCTCTGTTAACTCAATGGACTGTTTCACACCCAACACAGTGGGCACTGTTACACCTAACACAGTGGACACTGTCACACTTAACACAATGGACACTGTCACACCTAACACAATGGACACTGTCACACCTAACACAGTGGACACTGTCACACCTAACACAATGGACACTGTCACACCTAACACAATGGACACTGTCACACTTAACACAGTGGGCACTGTTACACCTAACACAGTGGACACTGTCACACCTAACACAGTGGACACTGTCACACTTAACACAATGAATTATGTCATAGGGAGCACACTTGGCCATGTAGTTCTAAGCACTTTATTATCTGTATTTACTTTGCAGATATTACCACCTTTGTTTTTCTGTAAATTATTGTAATCTATCTTATCAAGTCTAATAATCCAGTGAAAAGGGAATGATACGAGTTATAGCACTAAAATTTTCTTTACATATTTGTATTATTTAAAAAAAAAATTCTTTGTTATTCTATATAAGGGTGGACTGAAGATGGGAGAACTGGCTGATTTTGCTGCAGCATTCACTGACCATGCCTACTCAACAAACTCACAGAAGTTACGGAGGTCCCCACGCTCAGCGCGGCGTGTGGAGGATGCAGAGAAGGGTGGTGTGGAAGAGAAGAAAAAAGAAGAGTGTACGGAAGACGTCAGCGAAAAGAAATTAAAAGTGACCAAAGTGGATCACAAGTCACCTATTAGGTCAGTATTAAAAAAACAGGAATTTTTCAGTTATTTTAAATAGATGCATATTATAAGGAAGTGTCAATTTCATTAAAGCTGTTTATGTTGATTCATAATTTTATTTGGTCCTGTGCACTGTTATTTTTTCACTTTAGCTTTTCTCTTAAATACTTTTCTCATAATTTTCCTGTACATGGCTGATTGACAGTTTTGTAAGTTGGTGAGGATATTTGTCCATTCATATTTTTAAATGGGATTTTTTTTTTTTTTTTTTGAAAAAATATGTTCAGGAGATCTACGAGGATCAGTGAGCATGTCCAAAGGGAACAAGCAGAGAAAATTCGCCAGGAGAACTTACGGAAGGAGCGCGAGGCTCTGGAAGCCATGAAGCGAGAACAGGAGAAGGCTAAACTGATAGAGGAAGAGGGTGAGAAACAGGAGGATCAACAGGTGAGGTCTTGACACAGTTGATACTTAGCTTAGTCAACCTGTCTAGTTTAGTATAGTCTAATTTGGTTTAGTTTAGGGCTTCCATATTATATTTGGTTTTACTTTTTATGTTGAATACTTGTTAGTACTGTATAGGATCATTATAATTATAATAGGGAAATTAAAATTATGACTAGTTAGAGAATTATTATTAAGTAATCACTGAATATTTACTGTAGATCTAAATTTTTATAATTATTATGCTGTGAGAATCAGATTGGCATTTGGCATTATTGTTTTGTCCCATCAACAGTAAGTTTGACTGCAAGGAACATGGTTTTCTTATCATGAGCAGTGGCTACACATATGTGGAAATGAAACAAATTAATAGTCTGGGTGACAAATTCAGTACAATTTTGTTTTTGTAGCAGGAGCAGCAGGCATCAAACAAACCTGATGGCAGAGGCAGCAAGAAAACAAGGGGTCAGAAATTGGAGAAAGATTCAGAAGATGATGTGCCATTGAAACAATTAAAGGGAGGAAAAAAGAAGGTAAAGAGTTTAAGAAATGACACTAACATGAACTGTCAAAGGAAAAAGTAGTTAAAAAATGTAAATTTGACGGTAAATTATCATTTTGTTCAAATGTATAAAGCAACTATGATCAGTGGTATTATTTTTATTTCAGGGATTCAGGAGCAGCTCTGAGGATGAAGATGTCCCACTGAAAGTAGTGCAAAGAAGAATGAAGAAGGTAGGTCATCTGCTAGGGAGACAAAGGGGTCATCCATTTTTATCCTCATTTTCATAAGTCTATAAGCTGTAAGCAGGGGGAGGTTGCCCTCTGCACGATTTGGAAGAATAATAGATTCTTAAAATGATGATCCAAATTGCTGTCAAAGGTGATTTTTAGCTTTTCACTTTGTTCTATCTGATTTAGGGAGGGGTTCTGAAAAAGTACTCTTTGTAGAGTTGTGAAAATGATGATAAAAATGGATGGCCATTAAGGTTTTCTGGTAGTGAGGCTAGTTAGACAAATTTTTGTATATGGGTCATTCTGCGAAAATGTGACTTCAGTGTCTTGTTAACAACACACATTTTGTACATAATATTTTGTATGATTTTAACTTGCCCTATAATTTATGCCCTTTTTGCTATGTGCAAAAAAAATAAACAGTTTTTATAAAGCAATATTAAACAGGTAATATGGAAATGTTACATGGCGGTCACTGATGTGACTCACAGTCAGTTTCTTGTGGAATGACTCGTAGGTAGGTTTTAAGGTAGAAATAAACCACTTAAAAGAGTGATATATATATATATATATATATATATATATATAGAGAGAGAGAGAGAGAGAGAGAGAGAGAGAGAGAGAGAGAGAGAGAGAGAGGGGTATTTTGGGAAGAAAGCAAACATTTAAGATTGTCCCTTTCCTCACCTCACTAAATTTTATATTTTAGACATCGGAAAGTTCTGAAGATGATGTACCGTTGAAGCAAGTGCAAATAGAAAAGGTAAAAAAGAATCTGTTGTGTTTTACCACAGCACTGATCACTATTGTTACCTTTCAAATAAAACCATATTTATCTTTTTTCTGTGGGACATTTTTTTATTTAACGTAAATGTATATGTATATATATATTCAGTTGTCCTACCAGTATGTGCTGCAATATTGATCTCCAGGTCATGCTGGTATGTCAGAGCAATGATATGTTCTCTTTTAAATGATTTACAGTGTTACATTTCTGGTGTTCTTTAAATCAGATTGTCAGACATATGAATGTATATGTCTGCGAAATGCTGGTGCAATAAATAAAATATGTGTATTTGTTGGATGGATGGAGAGAGCAAGACACAGAGCAAGAGAGAGAGAGAGAGAGAGGGTAGAAGGAAGAAGTATTGCAACAGTTATTTTATGCTTTTACTGTCATGTGAATAATTGACTGCCCACATTTGTTTTGTATCCAGGCTGAACAAGTAGAGGCAACAGCCACAAGCAAACAAACATCAATGAAGGTAGCAAAAATCAATTTTTCAAAAGCCAAGGCATTGTTCTCTGGTTTAACTGTGAAAAGTGGTGGTGGAGCGAAAGAAGAAGCTAAAGCCAAACCACCAGAAGATTCCTCTTCAGAGACAGGCGATGCAGGGACAAAGACTGACAATAAAGAAGCTAATGAGACTAAATCGGACAAAAAGGGAGTAAAAAAGAAATCTGGAAAACAGAAAAAGTCCGATGCTAAGGTTGAAAAAGAGACAGAGACAACAGAAGTCGATACAAGTGAAACAGAATCTGTGACGAAGGTGGAAAAAGAAAAGAATGTGCCTGTGGAAAGAAAGAGTATCATTCAAACTCGAAAACAATTGGCTGAAACAGAGAAGGAAAAAGAGTTAGATTCCAAAACAACTACAGATAAGACCCCTAGTGCAGATTTGAAAAAGCCAGTAAAGAAACACCCTGCTGTGAAGAAATTACAAGAGGAGGAAGTAAAGATGGAGGGAGGAGAGGAGGGAGGAATGCTGTCAGAAAGTGACTACGACAGTGCCAAAGAAAGGGAAGATAAAAAGCACGAGACCAAGGAATTTAAGAAGAACTTGGAGTTAAAAGATGGTAAGAATGGCTGAGATTTAAGATTTGCTTTGGCCAAATGACGTATTATTCCAAATAACTTTTTGACTGATGTCAACAACATACACGATGTTTAACCTGCTGTTTCTACATTCTTCAGCCAAAAAGCCTGAATAGATTTTTTTTGATTTCCTAAAACTTGGCATTTATCAAATGTGTCATCTTTCTTGAAAGTGAAACAAGCATTTTTATGCAATAAAATTTAGTTGCAGTTATGCAATTTGCCCTTTTGCTTGTAAATAAGGAAAAATTCTTTAATGCAAAAAAAAAAAATGGGAATGTTAAATTTCACCTAGACTGCAAGGAACATATACTATTTGTTCCAACAATTTTAATTTTGAAATCAACAATAAAAATAGAAAACTTTCAATATTACCAGATTTGTTTGACGATGAGGAATCTGAGGGCGGCATGAGTTACGAAGACGATGAAAATGACTCGGATTGGGGTTCTGAAGATGACCCTGAAAGGCTCTGGTGCATCTGTCAAAAACAACACGATAACAGGTGAGAGCAGCTGCATTCACACCCTCACCAAGTTAAACTGTTAAAGAATAAGTGGTGCATTCATGAAAAATTGAATGACTTCATGAATGAATAAAATCGATGGATAAGTTATTTGTGTTCTCAGTTGCTTTGTATATTTTGTGCAAATTACCTTAGTAATTAAGATAAGAAATGAACATTTGTAGAAGACATATTGACTCCAAGGTATTTTAGACTAGTTTTCATATGAGATAAAAAAAATACATAATTAATCTTTTGCAGTTAGATGAACTTGCTCTCTAGCATTCTTTTGTTTACTCGGGAGCAAGCTCATCAGTCAATAAAAGAAGTCAACATCATAGTCATCTAGCTAAAAATTTAAAAAGCCTACTAGTAGGGCAGTATAAGTCTAGTAATATATGAATATTAAAATAATGCTGTTCCAGGTTTATGATCTGCTGTGATCGCTGTGAAGACTGGTTTCATGGCAGCTGTGTTGGTATCACCAAGGCCAGAGGCAAGGTGATGGAAGAGAATGAGGAGGAATGGATCTGCCCAGTTTGTAAAGGTGTGTACAGACCAATACAATGTGTGATGTCACAGCTAAACCAATGAGTTATGTTGGGGTGATTGGGTCTCTTTCTCTCTCTCTCTCTCTCTCTCTCTCTCTCTCTCTCTCTCTCTCTCAGTTTAAGTAAATTATCAGATCCTGTAACTTTAACTGCAGTGTTCTAATTTAGTGTGTTTATATAACAGTAGTATAATTTTTTGGCATAATCTTTTGTATTGTTTATATCTGAAGTCTGATAAATTTTAGAAAATGCATTGCCACAGCTGATTTTATGAAGTGTTTTGATTTATCCCCCTTCTCTCTCTCCATCTCTTGTTCTGGGTGCAAAAAGCTTTCTTCCCACTGAATACTTGTGCATCTCCAAATCTCACCTTTGTTCTTACTATAACTTTTTTGCTTTTTATTCTGTTCTTCACAACAGATAAGGAAAAGAAAGAAGCAAAAGAAAACAAGAAGTCTGACAGGGAAACCAGTCCTGACAAAAAGAAGAGAGATGCAGAGGATAAAAAGAAAAGTACAAAAGAGTCAGACTCTGAGTCTGAAAAGGTGAGAGATAACTGACATTTTCAATCTCAACTTCATGAGATTCCAAAGCTGGTATACATTTCTATTATCTCACCACAATGTCTTATGTCTCTGTAGTAGGCTTTTCATCCTCTCAATGTGTAATGATGAAAAAAAGAAATTGTTTTTAAGGAGGTAAAGCCCATTTTCTGCCTGTGAGGTAAAATGTTTTCTGTGCATGATAAAAAGTAACTTAAAGTTATTAAAAAAAAAAAATTATCCCATTTTCTGCCTTGGTGAGTAATGTCTAATAATCATCAAACTATAAAAGTATTGTCAACACCTGTATTTGTCCTGAATACTTACCTCTCTCTTATGAACCTGTTGCTGGCAGAAATGTCAATGTGGTTTGGGTTATTTTAGGCTAAATCTTCTGCATCTAAGAGTGCTAGCAGGGAGTCGTCTGTCTCCAGAGATACATCTGGAGAGGGAAAACCCAAGTTACTAGGGGAGATAAGAAAGAAGGAGAAAAGACCAGATCAAGATGATGGAAAAAAGAAGAGGAAAAGGTTCAAAGTGTTTAAGGTATAGAAATGAAAGTCTTCCGGATTTTTTTCTGGATATTTGGGAATTGATATTAATATGTGTGTTGTATTTCTGCCCCATGGGCCCTAATGTAGAGCTGTGAATTGTCTGTGCCTGTATTTTCAAGATTATATCAAAAGTCCACTTTTATCTCTTAAAGCAGAGCCTAGAAATAACATTTGATTGCAGTATGATTTACAAATTGATATAATACTGGGGGTGTTCCACAACTCCCTTTTGATTTTATTGAAACCCTTGCGAACACAGACAACAACCCTATCCATTCTTACACTCTGCTAATACATGCAAGGTAAAGGTAATTATTTTAAGGAAGTGTGTAAACACAAGTATCAGCAATTTAGATCCTTCTGATACATGTTAATTAAGATTTCACACAAAATACACATTACTATTGCTGTTACTCCCTCTCCTCTGATAAATACATTACCAATCTCCACTTCCAGAAGAGCCCCACCAAGGATAAAGACAAGCCCCCCAGACAGCACTGTATTAGTACAGGGTGTGAGGAGTGGGCTAGAGAGGGTTCTGTCTACTGTAAGCCAGGGTGTATTGTCAAACATGCCAAGGAGTCCCTGCAGCTGCTGGAGAAGGAGAAGGCTAAGATGGCTGGGTTTAAGTCAAAGGCAGAGGTAAGATCTTTTTTTTTTTTTTTTTTTTAAGAGGCTTCAGTGTTCAAAGATATTGTGACACAGCATATGAGAGAAGGGGGGAGGGGGCAAAATTTGCCAAATATCTTGTAATTCAAGTCTGAGTCAGAGAAGTAATTTCGGCTTTACAAAGACTAAAATAATGTTCAAGGTAACAAATGGTGTACTTTAATGGATTGAAATACTTTCAAGGAACACCAAGGTTAACATGAATTTAGCACAGGGTATAAGAGGAAGGCAAAACAGACCCAAGAAAAAAGTTTGTTTTATTTTGTCATGTAAAAATTCAAGGATTGTAACAGGATCATTTTTCAACACTTAAAAACTGGGTGATTGCAATTCAAGAATTAAGAAAAAATTGAGTGACAGATGAGAACTTAGAGCATTTATTTATTTATTTATTTATTTATTTATTTATTTATTTATTTATTTATTTGTGTCGTTCACAGAAGGGTAAACAGGCAGATAAAGTTGTCGTCTTGGAGAGGCACTCAGGTCGTCTTGTTACAGGACCAACAGCGCCAACTACAGAAAACCTGGAGAAATGGCTGCAGAGACATCCCACATTTGAAGTGCTGCGTCCTGGACAACAGGCTGGACACATGCACTCTGTGAATAGGTTCTACAGCCAGAGTAAGTGGAAGTGATAGAATGCTTGATTTGGGTGGTGGAAGATATATATATGTGTGAATGAAAAAAGTAAAGAACAAACATACAGTAATAAACAAAAAAGTCACAGTTCTTGTGGTTATCCTGTGAAGATTTATAGTTCTTTTTGAATGATTGTCATATTGATTTAAATATGAATTTATTCATTGTTTCAAAAAGTTTTTGTGGATTTCTGTTTGATACATTCAAGCTTACTTTCCAAATTGTGTTAATAGTAGTACACATACCTTTTACTTTTAAAGAAAAAAAAAACACTTCTGAAAGGATCATTAGATTTATATTGTTATTATTTCATTAAGAAAAACAAAACAAAACAATTTAACCTGTTTTTATTTATGTAGAGAAAGAACGCGACAAGGAAAGAGAAAAGCGTGAACAAGAGCGAAAGGACAGAGAAAAGGAGAGGAACCAGAAGGAGCGACAGCGGGAAAGAAAAGAATCTCACAAAGATTCCGCACAGCCCAAGCAGGAGCCAACGTCCACTACGTCCACCACGGCCGCGGCTGACCCCATGCCAATAAGAATGAATGTCAGAAAAGCCCTCAAGGATACACTGAGCAAGAGGTTAGTATGGGTGCATTTGTAACCAGATCAATACATATTAAAATTTAGGGTGCATTCTTAGACCTCGGTAAAAAAAGATAATTACTGAAAGGGATAAAGTAAACACCAACAATAAGAATCTATGTTAGAAAGGCCTTCAAGGATACTCTGAGCAAGAGGTTGGTATTGATGGACATGAATCTTGTAACCAGACCAATGCAGATGAAAAACTAGAGTGCATTTCTGGATCTCAGAAAATAGAAAGATAATTACTGAAAGGGACAAAGTAATCAGAAACAATAATTCTTCAACAGACTGTAATTTAACTAAATTAGTTGAAAAATATATTTAAATCACTTTATTTTATATGAAGTATATTTGTACTCTCAGGTGCTTGATACATTTCTTTAGTGTACATGAACAAACAAGGAGTGGTGAGGAGGGGGTTTGTTTTCACTATTCAGGACATTACAGCATAGGTTGTGTCAGGTGTCACATGACACCTGTGTCAGGTAAGCCCTCAGGTACAACATATGATCAGCCAATGCCATCATGAAAATAATGCAACATCATCATAGTCATACTAAACCCACTCATTAGCTCTACCTGGGCTACTAAAAATTGTTTATTCAGTTTCCATGCAATGTTCCTCAGTTGTTATCCATGTTCCAGGGCCCATGACTCAGATGACATGGTGATGACCAATCACGAGATCAAGAAGTTGACCCTCACCATAGAAACGGAGTTGTTTAGATTGTATGGGGATGTCAGTAGTAAATACAAGGCCAAGTTCAGGAGCCTCCTTTTCAACATCAAGGACCCAAAGAATGAGGTAATAAAGATCTTGATTATTGGGTTCTAATAACCATTTCTTAAACTAAATCTCATTTGACAGAGGAATTTAATGCTTTGTCATTTATTTTGAAAAAAAATTCTATTTTTTAAGGTAACTGTTATGGAAATATCATGGAGTAATCTTAAACTGTTTAATATCAGAAACAATATGATTGCATTCTACAAAATGTATTATTATTCTTTCCAGGGATTTTTCCGTAAGATTTTAACCAATCACATTAAGCCTTACAAACTTGTTAGGATGTCTCCTGAAGAAATGGCCAGTAAAGAGTTAGCAACATGGAGAGAAAGAGAAAATAAACACGTAAGAAAATTGATTATCAAATTTATTGAGTTATATCATCTTTATTTTCAGTTTGAATAACGTAATAAGTTTTGTTCCATATATTTGCATTATTTATGATACATGTGCATTTTTGACATGAACAATGATGACCTGAAAATATTTTTGAAAATTTTTATTTGCTGTGTATTTTAAAATTGCCTAATAATTTATGGATTTTGAAAAATGCCTCAGTCTTTTACAAAAGTGATATATTATAAGTCAATTTTCATTTCTTGTATTCAGTGATCTTGTATTTTTTTTTTGTTGTCAAAATACTTTAACAAAATAATGCTGAAGGTCCTAGAGGTGATTGGGATGTAACAGTTCATAGTTAAAACTTTTCTTGAATCCCTCAGATCCTAGAGATGATAGAGCTGTCGGAGAAGGAAGCAGCCAGCAGTGGCAGCCATGTTGTCAAGAAAACTCACAAAGGGGAGGAGATCATCGACGAGGGCGAGGACTTGACTATACTTGCCGATGAGGTAGGGCTCAGTGCCTTATTTCAGCCTCTTTCCTCTAGTTTGTCTATATAACATAAAGATGCCCCATCTGCTTTCTGTTTTACCTGGTATTTATTATTTAAATGCAAAATATAGATAAAAAGATCAATGAAGAACTTTGACATGATTACAGACCAGCTGAAACCACAAGTGAATTTTAAAGTAGAAGAACAAAACAAAAGACCTGATTATGTCATGGTTGAAAGTTTTCAGGATCATGCCTGATATGAGGATTTTCAGTCTTCATTGTGGTTGTTTTTTCATATGGTCTTAATCTTTGATGAAATATTAAATCAATTCTCTTCTGTTTCCCCAAGACGGACCAGAGAAACATGCCCCCTCCTTGTCTGCCTCTCTCTCTCTCTCATTTTCTCCCTCTCCCTCTTTATCTCCTTTCACATTCTTTGATGAACTGTTTTATTAAGTCTCAAACTTTAAACATGCATTACACATATTACATAACTTCTGTTCCCCAGGTCAAGCCAGAGAAGCACACCCCCTCCTGGCCTGCTTTCTCTCTCTCTCTCTCTCTTTCTCAAATCTTTGATAAAATATTAAATCGTCTCATGTCTTAAACACATATTACATACTTCTGTTCCCCAGGTGAAGCCAGAGAAGCACACCCCCTCCTGGCCTGCCTCTGATCTCCTGGGATCTCTGATCACAGACACCACTGACAAACACAAGACCCATCTGTTTGACCTTAACTGCAAGATTTGTACTGGGAAGATCAAGCCGCCCAGCGAAGAGACTCCACCCCCTGCCAAGAAGCCCAAGATTGCCAAAATGGTACGGATTGAAGGAGTGAAGGAAAAAGAGGAAAAGGTCAGTATTTAAAGGATGGGGTGATTGTATTATATGTAAATATATTTTCAATAATATAAATAGTAATAAATATAAATATATTATTTGTAAAAATGTAAATCATGGGTATTTGAGGTAAGTCTGAATTTGCTCAATTTTGCAAACATAGTTTTTGGCATATTTTTTTCCTAATCCAGAAATTAAGTTATGGAACAATTTTTTTAAAATTAAAACTATCAGGTAGAGTTTTGCACAGTAATTTTTTGCTAATGATAAGAAAAAAGTTTCAGTGAAAAAGCAACACTTTGAATTTTTATTTTCAAGTTGAAAAATAAAATTAAAAGGCTTAGCATCTATGAGGAGTACTAATATTGAATTTAAATTAAAAAGATGATAAATAATTTACAGCTTTTTTTTTTTTCTAAGTTAAATGAGGAAAAAAGTTTCACTGCTGAAACACAAATAATAATGTTTTATTAACAGGTGGAAAAAGAGGACCTGCCTTACTTACCAAAAAGTGAGGTAGCCATGGCATCCACTGACGTTGCTACGGAAGTCAGGGAGCCTCCTTCTGTTCCTAAACCTGAGGAGAAGCCACCTGTGTCTGTGGCGAAGGAAGAAGTGAAGTCACCCCCAGCTGATTCTAGTTCTAGTTCAATACAGTACGTACTTTGGTGATGACAAGGGTGAGAGTGAATGCTTGAATGAAGGATTACATGAATGAAATAGTGCATGCGAGAGCATATGCGTGTTGTGTGATTTGATGGTGATGCATTTGCCAGTGAGTGTGAGGAAATTAATGAATGAGCATGTTTCTCTCTCTCTCTCTCTCTCTCTCTCTCTCTCTCTCTCTCTCTCTCTCTCTCTCTCTCTCTCTCTCTGCCTCTTTGTGTGTGTGTGTGTGTGTCTGTGTGTGTGTGAGAGAGAGAGAGAGAGAGAGAGAGCTAGCTAGCTTGTATAGGTGGGTTTGCAGATTTTCCCATTAAAATCACATATATAACATTACCATCATTACTTGTGTTTCAGATCCCCAGACTCAGCGTTACAGGCAGGCCTGGACAAGCCAGCCAGCAGACAGAAAGAGAACTCTGTCTGGAAGGGGTTTGTCTTCCATCCTGATCTACCAAAGTTCTTCACTGTGGCGTACAAAGTGTCTGGCCCTACCGACTTTCTCAATAATGTAAGTGTTCATTTATTGATACATTTGTTCATCAATATATGCATTCATTCTTTCATTCATTTATCAATAAATTAATTTGATTTTTTTTTCATTTATTTGTTTGCATAAGATATCTGAAAGTCATGTTTCTTTGTAGGATATGAAGATAAAAAAGATCACTTTGTTAATCTGGCGTTTTAATCTTTTAAATAAATGTGATTGCATTCAGGCAGAGCCCACATGAAGTTCGATCAATACCCTGATGTAAAATAATCTTTGTATTTCCCAGGATCTCCCAGACACCATCCATGTGGTGGGCAGAATTGTCCCAGAGTAATATAATCTTTGTATTTCCCAGGATCTCCCAGACACCATCCATGTGGTGGGCAGAATTGTCCCAGAGCAGATCTTTGACTACCTGGACAAGCTGAGGAACTCCTCATCACGGGTAGGCTGTTTGTTTGTTTGTTTGTTTGTTTGTTGTTTATCTTCACCAAGGAAGTTTGTTTTTGCCTTTAATGGTTTGTAAGTTCACAGCATAACTCAGAAAATATTCAACAAATACTGACAAAACTCTTGAAAAGGGCAGAAATTGGCTAACTCAGAATCGGTTACATTTCGTTGGTGATCCATGAATTGATAATAAAATTAATAATAATAATATCAATTTGCTGCCTTGGTGGAGATCCGCTGTCTCAGAGTGCTTTTGTAGTTGAATCATTCCCACATTTGTTTTTTCATTTAATTTTTCACTCGTACCTTTTCCCTCCATTAGTATGTACATTTTTTTCATGCATTCAGAATATATTTATTCATATGTATATTTATTATTTGCTTTCCAGGAATTGAATTATAATTACTTGAATGTCTCCAGTATATTTTTGGTTAAATAATTTCTGTCAGCAGATTTTTGACCCTTGCAACTATTGTGCGCATGTATATGCACATGCACACACGGATTATACTAATACTAAGAAAGTTCTACCTAACTTCAGTATAAACACATCTTAACACCTATCACTATGATTACTGTCTCCTCTTCATGCTCTTTGCCAGCTGATCCCCAAAACAGGTCAGTGATGTCTTGGCCACTATTTTACTTGCTGTCATTGCATAAACCAAGAAGAGTCGACCTAGCTTCAATGTAAACATGACTTAGTTTCATTCCCCTTCTCACCACTGTCTGTCTTCGTGCACTCTGCCAACTGATTGTCTGATTCTTCCACGTGAGGTCAGCTCGTATCAGTCCGGGGCTTGGGCTATGATCCCAGGCACTGTCATCGACTTGGGTCGTCTTCTCAGAAATCTATCTGCTCATCTGGTGATTAACAGGTGTCAGGCCAACTTGGGTGAAATCTGGCATAAGGGACTGATAAAGAAAGTCAGACAAAAGCATTCTGCCCTTTTTTTTTTGGAAGCATTTCTCCAGCATAAATTTAGACTGCAGCCATTCAATTGCCAATTTTAAATATGTTAAGAGTTTTGACTTTTTGTGTTATGTCAGCTAAGGATTTTAATTTTTTAAGTGTGGCCAGATGTCAGTTCAATTTGTGTGGAATTGAGCATAAAGTGACTGATAAAGAAGGCAGACTGAGTCTTAAAGATTCTACTTTCTCTCACCAAGATGAATGATTTAGTGTATATTATATGATTGATTGGTGTATGAAATGTTATGGCAATAGGAGTCATTTCAGTATGTCTGGTACTGGCTTGATGTGTCTGGTACAGTGGAGACGACATCTTTAGTTTCACAGAACCCTGGAAAATCATCTCGTCTCACCTCTGTCAGCTAGTGCACCTTTGCCATTTCTTGTCACACCCTGAAATTCACCTCATCTCTCTACTGTCAGCATGCCTGTAATATTTCCAGTAACGCCCTGAATTTCGAGGGGTATTTGAAACTCTCTACTATCAGCATGCTTTTGCCATTTCCAGTAACACCCAGAGTTTCACAGGACAAGGGAATTTCATCTCGCCTCATCTCTGTCAGTGCGCCTTTGCTATTTCCAGTAATACCCTGAATTTGAAAGGTTATTTGAAACTCCTTTCTACTATCTGTGATGTTTTCAGTAGCACCCTGAGTATTCAGAGGTTTCTGAAAACTCTCCTCTTTACTCTCAGCATATAACTGGAAATGGCAGACTGAAGGTACAGAGGGCCAGTGATACTCAGGGTGGGCAGAGGCAAATGAGACCTGCACATCATTTACAATATGGACAGAAGCTGACATATTTAACTGATATGGCTGCCCCCAAGGGATGCAATTCAAAAGAAGACAAATTGGAGATGTTTTACCTCAGATTTTTTTCAAAGGACAAGTCCCAAATCTCCACTCCAGTCAAAAATAAGCACTTAACAATAAAATAATTAGAAAAATAAATGAATTAATAAAAGAAGAAAAGAATGTGAATGAAAGTCAATGGATTTGTCTAAAAATCAGGGTATTTGGGTGTAAAGAGAAATGTGCACCTTAACCATCCATTGGTACTTTAAGAATTCTCCCAAGACCTATGATATTTTCATTTCTGAAAGAGATGGTAGACCTCGAGTTATAAATACAGTGGCTTCGTGCCTGGCTGATACAGCATCATATGTTAGTGTTGTACAGCCTTTGCATCCTTTGACACACTAGCTGAGGTAAATGACTTCTCGCTGTGTGAAACAATCTAATAACAGTAAAAGCCTTTTTGGAATAGCGCATCAAGTTATTTTTCATGGTTTGTTGTTTGATTGTATCACAGACAGTACTTTTTTTTTGTCTCATTTTTGATTGATGTTGTCAGTCTACTTATTTAATTTCTTCAATAATATCAACACGTTACTGTTAATTTTTACAGATGATAGTCTTCCAGATTCAGCTGGAAAAATACAATTATTTAGGTTTTATTATGTCATCTGGACCCCCCCCCCCCCCCCCTTTATAGAGCTACAAATCTTCTGCACTTGCATACTTGCATTGACCAGATTTTTTTAAAGGTTTACTTTCATCTCTGTAATTTCTTTGACATGGGTTACCATAGAGATAAGGTGATGTCTCTAAAATTTTCAGGTGTTGGTAGAAGAAAATGAGCTTTTTCAAAAGGTCCAATCCTGTAGATTAACAAATTATAAATGATCTTCAGTTTTCTTAGCATAAGTCAGGCATGAGATTTTTCCGTCTTTTNACCCTTCCTTCCCCGGCAAGACCCTTCACTCATCGGCACTCGCATGTTTTCAATTTTGACCTTGCCGAAAAACGTTACCAACTGTACATATATATCGATTCTGGGACGCACTGTTATCAAGGAGGAAACTTTTGCGACATCTATACGACATTTATACAGTCATTGAATGCAATTACCGTAAAACGGCCTGTATCCTGTTCATATAGCGCTGCGCGGTTTTTTCCATGTGGTATCGTGTGTCGCTTTTGCGTTTTGGAAAATGAAGCTACTTCAGGCTGGTGTAAACGACGATAGAGTCAGAGAAATCGATAAAGGGATTAAGAATAAATTCGGGTAGGTTGTTTTACTAGATCGGTTGTGTGTATGTCGTATGAAGACATTGAACTTGCATTTGAAAATTTTCATGTTTTGAGTTGTCGACTTGTCGCTCGGTTACGTGTGCGTTAAGATTTTTCTTCGAAAAATCTTTCAGACTTTTTTATCAAAACCAAATCTCATGCCTGATAAGTATTTCTGATAAAATCTGATCAGTAACAATATCATGATTATGTGTATGTTAGGAAATTCAATGCATCTTTGGCAAATGTAGCAGTGCGGTTTTTTCTACTATCCAGTCTGCAAGATTGATTATGAATTAACCTGGTTGTTATGTGGGAGAATCACCTAATCAGAGCTCCTTTGGTTAGTTTATGGGATCAATTTTGATAGGTAAACTGGAACTTGTGAAAGAGAGTAGCCCCCAGCTACCATAGCATTATTCTTTGTTAGAACCATTCAAATTAAATGGATTGCTTCTCACCTCTTGATGCTAGCTTACTACTGATTAAAAAAATGGTACAAGTAAGCAAAAGAGTGTGACTCAAAAAATGAAAAAAAAAATGCATGCAGGCGCCAGCGCGCGCACACACACACATACACAACTCAAAAATCATTCATAAAATGTGAATTTGCCTGCATGGAGGGAAGAAATCAAAGTGAGCTGATCAATCTTCTTGTCAGTTAACATGCTGTATGTGAAGAAAAAGGATTTGCATAGTATTAAGAAAATGTTAATTGCTTTTGCTGCATCCGTGCAGGCTACGCAAAAGGAAAAAATGAAAGGTTAAAGACGGACAAAATCTCGTGTAATGGCCCTTAATATCTCTTGTTAATGTAGCGTCTTCTGGGAGATCTCAGAGTTTTGACACAACAGATGTTTCTGCGAAAACTGATTAAAAGTTGGCGCTTTCTAATTTCCTACTTAGTCATATACTGATTGGCATCAGACGAGACGCGACAGGTGATTCGGGGACCCGGGAACATCTTCTATACGTTTAACTATCAACTCGTAAAATACTGTCAATAGAAAGGTCATTTTTATAATGATACAAACATGTATGAAAGATGATTTAGACCAGGAAAAAACTTATGTACACTTAAATATCAACTCGTAAAATACTGTCAATAAAAATGACATTTTTTGAGATACAAGCATATGTGACAAGATATAAGACTTGATTTTGCTTATCTGTAACATCGTTAAAATTTTTTAGTAGAAATGAAATTTTTTTGTGATACAAGCGTGTGTGATAGGAGATAATAGACTCTGTTGAATAAATATAAATAAGTATTTGTATAGTATAAATAAGTTCTTGCAGTAGAATTTGAAATCCTTTTTTGTGATACAAGCATACCGTACGACAAATGATAAATAGAGATAAATGAGATATGTCTGTAATATCTAAAACATTGTCAAACAGAAATGACTTTTTTTGAGATACAAAAATATGTGGCAATATTCTACGTGTTAATCATGTGTAATTGTCCACTGAAGTGATGTTAACTTAATTCAATCTTCTTGTAGTAACATATGTTCTAGATAATTGAGACTTAATCATGTGTAACAATCAAGTCATAAAACATAGTCAATACAAATCGCATTATTTTCTAATACAAGCACATGCGACAGTATTGGAGACTTTGTCACAACATGGGCGTATCACTATCAGATCGAAAAACACTGTCAGCAGTGACAGATATTTTGTCACACAAAATAGTTTTGTTTTAAATGTAGCTCACTCTATTATATTTCTGTCTTATCACAAGGTCTTATTCAGGTGTGCTAAAGTTTGGCTTTCACTGATGTCAAATGAAAAAGATGATCGGCAGACTAACTGATCCGCCAACTAAATATGGCCAATCCCACTAAAAAGCAAGCGGCCTTAATCCCCTGATGGTCTGCATATGCATCATTAAATGGATTGAATTTCAGCTCAGAGTTTTAATTGCTAGACCCCTGCAGCGACGGTATTTGTGGAGAAGGGAAGATCATCAGAGGATTAGTGGCATCACTTTTAAGTGGATCAGCCATATTTGGTCCACAGATCACCTTGTTCTGAATGTGCTCTAAGGCTTTCATTTAGAACTTTTTAATTAGATATTTTATGGAATAGGCCCTGGTTGAGGATCATGGGTACAGGCTCTGTTCTATTCTTGCCCCCCCCCCCCCTACCCCCCCCCCCCCTTTTGGATCCAATTTTACCTGGTACACCTGCACTTCCACAAGGTTGGCAAGTGTTTGGTTCCAACTAGCGTAGATGTCTGCTGTGCGAGATGGGTTGTTGTATGGATACGGAGCTATGTTAAGGTTACTGGTAGCTCTTAAGTTTTATCTCCTGGCCAGGCTATAAAATTGTCAGTCTCTCAAACTGGAGTGATAACAGGAGATCTAGTCACTGTGTTAAGGGCCATAGATGGCTAAATCCACAGATAATTTCTGCTTTTATTTTTATTTTTAAATTATTTATGTATTTTTTGTTGTTTTTTTTTACTGCTGTCACTTGAAAGCTGAGTTTGTTTCCTCTTTCCAGTTGGACCCTGTTCTAAGAAAAAAGCATTGAGTGTCTTTGTTATGACAAATTACCATTGAAAATAAAATTATAGCTCATAATTGAAAAAAATGTCCCTGGTTGAATGACATAATCAAAAAATCCCTTGATAATCTCGTTCGTTTTTGTCATCTCAAAATATAAAAGGAAAAAAGAAAAAGAATTAACTCGGTTTGAGATAACATCATGGATATTTAAGAACTAAGAGGAAATTGGAATTGATTGTAGCCATTCCCAGGGGTGTTAGATAGCATCATGCAATAATTTTTGTCTTGATTTTGTCAGTACTGCAGGGAAGATATAGTGTAGGCTGCCCATGACAGACATGTTGACGAGGAAAAAAAGTTTGTGCACTTTCGGGTGCATTTTGTATTTTTGTGGCCATGTAGAAGATCAGTGTGTGTGTTTGTGTTTGATTTAAAGTGCTTCACTCTCTCTCTTTTTTTATGTTTTGTGTATATGTGTGCTTAGAAGATTTTCGGTCCAATATTGAATGTGATATCACAATGACACCATCTTTTCAGTGGTGAAAATTGGCAGTTTAACAGAAACTTTTTTCAGTCATTAATTCTTACGTTAAAAAGCAGGCTACCCTATACTTATATTAAATACAATGATGCCTAATTAATGCTTAAAAGAAATATGTCTAATGATTCCAGAATTATGGATCTGAAAGGTTGATAATTTACTCAGCCATTACTGTAATGATGATGATGATAATAATTCTAATAATATCATTAAATTGATGATGATGATGAAATTTTTCTCCATTTAATCAAAAAAAAAAAAAAAAAGAAAGAAAGAAAAAAAGCACTGAAGAGATGTTTTCTGCAATTCCACATGGCTAATTTTTCCATGTCTGTGGGCCACAGTATATCACCTGGAACATCACTTCTTGATTAAATCCTGCGGAGAGTGCTGAATGATGTACAAACATGAAAAGAAAACCTCCGATACAGATAGTTTTCTTTTAACATGTTTCTTTTTAATGGGTTATGGAAGGAATATTTCAGATAAGGGATCTTAGTGTCAGGGGTTAAAATAAAAATAGAATTGCATACATCCATATCAAGTGATGTAGGTGTTGCTGAGAAAATTTATTTATTTCCGGGTTGAGTGACGTCCATCTGTTTATGAAGAGAAACAGTAAATGATTGTATGGATAAATGAATAAATAAACATGAAAAATAGGTGAAATAATAGATATATAATAGATAAATTTTAAATTAATTTATGATAAATAAATTGTGATTTGTTAATATTCATCAGTAATTAGATATTATTAAATGAAAATTCCATTCTTTCCTCATCTTAATGGTCTTGATTTTATCATTAAGTAAGCTAAATTGGAATATAACTAAATAGGAATGCTCTACAGTTACTAATGAGGAAATCATAGAAGAGCACAAATAGCCCATAGTGTAAAGGACTTCTGAGAGCATGAGGAAATTGCAACCTTTGTAATGTGTATCGCCTCCAGAGAGCAGTTAGCTTGGCAATAAGCAACACTAGTGGCTATTAACTTGGTAATTAGGACTCACTTTTTATCACTAGTTTTTTTACTTGGATTTGAAAGTACTACCCATGTGCCCAGATATAAGAGATTTACAGCGATTTTGTGTAGGTCGTAATTTTTATTTTACTATCAGACGTGACGTCAAGCATCGTTGAGTACAGATTAAAGGAAATAGGGTCGTGGTACGACTACCATACTTCAAAGCTTCGAATTCTCAGCCTTTTGGTGAATTGCTACTATGTATTTATAAGTTCATTGTAAATTTGTGTATTCAGAATTAAGAATTTCCTGACATTTGTTCAAATACCTTGTTGTTTATGTTTTAATTTTTTTTTTTTTGTTCAATTTTTTGTGGGGGAGGGGGTGTTTTGTACTTTTCTCTATTTACATCCCAGAATTTACTTTATCTAACCCAAGTTAGACAGTATTCAGAACCAGTTGATCTGCGGACTAACACATCCATGGATCAAATATGGCCGACCCACGTTAAAGCAGAACCGACTAATCTGCTGATGGTGTCTGCGCCTCCACATGCACTGTCCTTGCAGGGGTCTGGCAATTAAATCCCAGAGCTGTGATTTAATCTGTTTAATGGCACATGGGAGGAGACCATAAGCAGATTAGTCGTTTCGGTTTTTATGTGGGTTGGCCATATTCGATCTGCGAATCTGTTTCTCCACAGATTAACTTGTTCTGAATAAGTGCTGATATAAGCCACTTTTGCTTCATTATACTACTGTGTTCAAAGTATTGTGACTTTTAGACAGGGTTCCCACAGATTTAGATCGATCCATCTGGATCAACCTAACTCCCTGGGGGGTTCACGCTAAATTGCTGTCAGCTTCCGGGAGCCGTGCTCGCACAACAGTTAATTACCCCCTCACAGCTTTTAGTAGGCAGGGCAGACATTTAAGCCGGTTAAGCTGACAGCAGTCTAGTGGGACTCCCCAGGGGGATAGATCGATCTAAATATCTGTGGGAATGGTCTCTTAAAGAAAAACCTCCCTTGTCAGAGGCATTGAATATCACACAGTAAAGAGAAACATGGTGTGAATAAGTATTAAGTACATTATTTTGCAATTATTGTTAATGTCTTTGGTTTTAATAGAATAAGTCTAGAAGAATGAATAGATAATTGGGTTAATACAGAAAAGAGAGAAAGAGAAGACTGCTACAGGTATTTTTATACCCAAATTAGTTGAAGAATTAGTTTAGGAATCCATATAAAATCAGAGCAATAACCTACATTGGCCTACCTTGAACTTCTGGGTACTTAATTTAAAAAAAGAAAAAATGAGGTAAAAGCCCAGCCAAAGGTGACGTCAATCAGGATTGCCCAACTCAACGATGTCCAAATGGTAATTTCTCTGGTATTTGACAGGATATTGATGGACCTGGGTAATTAGCAGCTTTCCAATTACCAAGTAGGGAAAATTGGGGTAATGTTACTTGGCTGCTTGGCAAGTTTTTGTATCATCCATGGGACATTTGTGTGAGTGTATATTCTAGGGGGAGAGGGGGGGGGGTCATGGACTCAATAAGATTGCACTCACAGTATGCTTTGATCAGAATTAGAAAATTGCTTATCAGTCAGTGTGTTGCTGCTGTATGGAATATGGAAAAAAGAGATACAGTGCTGAACAAAAATTTTTATTACTACAAAAGAATAGTTTTGGGTGCAGTAAAACTGACACAGAGATATCAAGTGTAAAAAATGAGTTAATCTCTTTTTTTTTTTAGCTTGCATGACATGTAATAACAGTATACTTCTTTTAATTGGTAAAGAACTACTATTGTATGTTCTGTCCATATTACACTGTACTACATAGAGAGAGAGAGAGGCATAATTCCCTCTTAAAACTTAAATGTTTGGATGAAAAATTGGTTAGCATTAGATACTAATACATAAAGCTAGACTTCAGTCACTTAAATCTATTTTCACACATTCAGCAAACAAATTGAATGGCTTTCTACTGTACATATCTGTTTCATTTATAATTTTTGGTAACAAGTTCTTGTCCAATGCAAGAGAGAGATTCATCCATCTCTCTCAGTAGAGAAACTCGGAGAAAGTTTCTGTATTTCAGTGATTTTTTTGAGCAATACTGTTCTAATGACATAGTGAGGTATTACAGCTTAACAGTTACGAAATTTCCCTTTTTAACACTGGTTCAGACTGATTTTAGATGTTCTAGCTTCCCTGGGGAGGATATATTGCATTTAACAAGCGATGCATGCATTACGAGTGTCCTGATTTAAGGTCCTCCTGGCTACGTATTATGGCAGTAATTTATCAATATACAGATGTAGAGACGTGCTCTCCTCTGCCATGTACGGAATGACGTGATCTTTTCAGTCTTGAAAAAAGGAAATTTTACAGATACTGTATCTTTTCAGGTCATATATTGAATTTCTTTAAAACTGCAACATTTCCATTGAGTGATAGAAACAAAACTGAAAAGCTGGGAACCTTATATATCTAATCTTTACTGTAAAAACACTACAAATGTGACAAAGAAATATTTTTTAATGATTCTAAATGTATGTATCTGAAAGATTAATAATTTTCCTAATTGAGAAGATTTAGTCATTACAGCATATTTCAATGATTAAAGCAGTACCCTTGTGAGATGTACCTTCTAGCGAGGAGTCAGAAACTTGGCTGTAAGCTTCAATACTTTAATACATTTTTATCGATTGTAACTGTGTTACACCAGAATTTTATATGTGACAGTGGTATAAAAAAATCTATTTGTGGAGAAATGGTACATTCTTCTGCCTTTAACTAAATTAACTGAATTGGAAGAAGTCAAAAGCACTGCTGTGAGTTTCTAAGCTTGGTGCATTTTCGCCAAATATTACATCATACTTTAAATGCTTTTGGCTGTGATAAAAAATTATTTATGATTCTATTTCAATAAGAAGGCTGTTTTTATAACATCTTTACCAAGTGTTATCAGGTACTCAATCTGGCCTTTTCACATCAACATTGGTTGGGATTTAAAAATAAGTGTGTTACTAAGAAAGTTGCTGAGCTATTGATTAGGGTGCAGTAATCTATGAAGTGTGACCAGAAATTAAGTGCACTAAGAATCATTGAGTATATAACTATGTGACACAGTAATGCAATTTCTCTGGTAGCTGATGCTGAAAAAAAAAAAAACATAATACCATTTCATTTGTCTGACTACTTACTGAACAGACTCTTCAGACAAACAGTTAGTACCAACTTTTGGCCTAATTTTTTTTAATAGTCCCATAGCTTAAAGTGGTGAGTCATTCAAAATAAAAATTAAAGTCACGTCCATGACACACACATTTTGCTTATGCAATATTGGCAAAACAGCTGGAAATCACTTTTTAATTTCTGTTGATTTCTTTCCAAATTGGGGAAGAGAGGAGCATAGTGTTTAAGAGAGAACATAGTACACATTTTTCACTAAATTTGTGTGTCAGTGACAAGACTCATTTGTTCACTTTCCTGTGGAATGACCCTAGTCTAATAACTAACAATTACCTCAATTCTGAATGCTTGACCAAGTTTTGTGAGCATGAGTAAACATTTTTTTGCCTCGCTATGAGGTTGCAATATCAGATAAATATGTTCATATTGATAAATACATACATATATTGTTTATATATCAACTTTGGAAAGAGATGCAGGCGACATCTATCATGCTGGTCTCAGGGCCACAGAGGCGGGCATTTTGTGCATTGAAGTTCGAGTCGGGAGAGTCGCTATTCCTTTGATGCTTGGCACATTTACAGAGCCATTTTGGGCACAGAATTCTCATGAATGTTCTCCGAAATTTGGGATGCGCCACGGCGTACACAAAGGGGTTGGCTGTCGAGTTCAGGTACCCCAGCCAGAGTGCTGTCAGGTCAAGGTCATTGTCAAGGTGAGGGATGAAAGGTTTTATGATGAAGGTCACCATGTAAAGTATCCAACACAGTAGGAATGTTGCTATGACCGCCGATAGCATTATTGTGGCCCGTAACTCTTTCGTGTTCAGCGTTGGCAACTCTGGTCCGTTTGCGTGACTGTTGAAAGCGATCCGGGGCGTTTGAATCAATTGCGCTTGACGCCTCGCTATCACCAGAACTTGAACGTAGGTGAACAAAAGCAGGATCAAAGGAATGATAAAATCTGTGAGAGATAGTGTCACGCTGTATGCTAAATTTTCAACCGCCAGATGGCAGGAGGGTGCCTCTGCCTGACCTAGATTCTGAACCAATCCATCTGCTGTATTCCAGCCCATGTAGATGGGTACAAAAGCAGTAATGGCTGCCACAAACCAAATTGCCAGTAACACAGCAAAAACTTTTTTGTGACTGATGTGTTGACGATACCTTAAAGGCCATGTGACTGCAATGTAGCGGTCGACACTTATGGCGGTGACATTCCAGATTGAGGCTTTACAGAGCATGACATCGAAAGAGATGTAGATATTACACCATATTGCACCAAATGGAAAATGTTGTGTGGCTGTGAGCAGTGCACTGAAGGGTAACACTAGAAGTCCAAGAAGTAGGTCGCCAAGTGCCAGTGATATTATGGGATAGTTCACCAAAATTCGAAGTCGTTTTTCCAACACAAATGAGGCTAACACCATAACATTTCCAAGGATCGTCAGCACTATTAGAACTCCCAGAAGAATTCCGTAGATGACGGTTTCAGGGAGTGACCTGTTGGTCACCAGACCCCCACTAGATGGCAGCAATGTGGGCGAGCTGGTTGTCATTATTTCCAAACTTGAATTGTTCATTTTGTTTTTGATTCTGATTTGAGCCTTGTCCCACCTTGGCAGCTTGAGATGTTGGAGTTGACTGATCACTGTATTGAGTAATCTTATTGAGACTAAGTTAATGTAATAACAGTTTTCTCATAAGTGGTCGAATTTTGTATATTAAGTTATTTTTTGAGCGTAGGCCCAAGTTTACTTAGTTTTTCTACTCCATAAATGAATCAGAAACCTCCCCCTGAAGTTACATTTTTGAAGATCCAGTAATGGTTAGCTTCCACTTCATTTCTCCTGTATGTAATATGCCTGTGATCCAACACACTTAAAAAGTACAGTATATCATTTTCTGCCTTGTATGAGGTTTGGTGTCAAACTGAGCTGTGTCCAAATCACGAAGACATATGCTGGATTTACATAAGAATAACCTCCGCATACAGAGAGGTGAATTCGGCAGTGTAATCTCCAGAGTTTTCATATATCAGTTTGATGAGTTAACACATCTGTTTGTTCAGTCCTCACCAATTTTATCCTAATGCTGAAATTAATGAAGTTAAATATTGGATGAGAACATTTGTCCATGGTTCATGTATTTCACACTTTCCATGGATAAACACAATTAAGTCTTTGCTGTATGTGCTGTGCTGTATCCATTGCCTTTGCCTGTTGTCCGTCTATCAGTTAAATTACTTTACACTAACATAATCCTAATGCTGCAATTAATGTAGTGGAATATGGAACATACACAGTTCATGTATTTCACCAATTTTCACAGATTAACACATCTCTCTTTGCCTCTTGTCTGTGTTCACTCTGCCTTTTCCTATCAGTGGTATTATTTAATTTAATATTTCATAGTAATACCTAGAACATCTCTTAAGTTTGCATGTTTCATGCTTTTCCTTGATTATCTCTCATTGCTGTGGTTCCATCTCTGTTTTTTTTTATCAGTTGTCATATATCACTTTGCCCATTTAACACATCACTTTGCTCAGTTCACGCTGATACCTCCCTAACACTGAAATGAATGAAGTTTAAGGATGGAAGTTTTTCGTGGTTCATGTGTTTCACACTTCCTGGATTTAACTTCCTTTCTCTGTGCCTTGGTGTACTCTGATGTGCTCTTTCTTGCTTTTCACAGTTTCATATCCAACTTTTCTCAGTTCATTTTGATGTTTCCCTTTCACTGAAATTAATGACAGTTACAGTAATAAAGTAAAGAACATCTTAAAGGGATAATAACTCTTCATTTCAGCCAAATAATGAATTTTCCTGGAGTAAACAACAATTTTCCCATACCAACCAATGGGTAATGAATCCATTTTTACATTCAAAGTTAGTCCCTGGTTTTTTTCTAAAAAGTTTGGTTTTTTGTTAAAATCTCTTAAGAGATTTTAAGAGAGTATAGCCATCAATGGAGGTCACGTGGTCTAAAGACAAGCTCAGATATCAGAATAATAGCTATAACTGCTGTTTTTGTGGTAAAACAGAATATATTATATTTCTATGAGTTATTCACAATGTTTTTATTGTGAAATATAGATCTTATACAAAGAGTTATTATCCCTTTAAAGTTTATAGTTCACACATGCTTTTTCGAGATAAAACCTAACTTCCATGCCCTTGGTGAATTTTAGATGAATTCAATGCAGACTTATCAAGCCTCTAGAGTACATGTGTGTGTGTTTGTGTGTGTTTTTGGCACTGTTTTTATTAATAAGACGAGAATCATCCTGTAATGAGATTAATTCAGGTGACTGAGGTCACCCAGTTCACATATCTGACACCTATGGTGGACCTCTCGCCTCACTTGAGCCAAAGCAGGTTCCTTCTCAGGAGCACTGATATGTATGATGATGTATATTTACATGGATATGTATACATATTAACATGTGCTTCCAGGATTATCTGAGTTCAAATCTTGTTCATGTTTCCTGGTAATTGTGTCTGTGATATATCCTTTCTGGGAAAACTGGCCCCAGAGGGAGGGAGGGGGTGGGAGGGGGGGCTGCATGTGAACTGGTGTGTACAGTGTTAATCAGCTATAAGTATATTACTAGGAATGACCCTGGTGATGTTGCAGTGATTACCAGGTCATAGTATTTCTTTATAGCATCCTAATTTTTTTCTGTGTTCTGGCACTGTAATAAGAAGATTCTGTTGGGAATGTTTTCTGTAATTGATTGGTTGTGGAAAAATCCTAGTTGGAATTGTTAAAACTGAGTACGTATGATCAGAATTTTTTTTTTTTTTTTACGTGAACCCTAAGTGCAACCTTTTCTGAAAGCATCTGATGAATTCTGGTAATTGTGAATTCCTGTTTAGTCAGTAGTACATACACACTGAGAATTTACAGGTAAACATTTTCTTTGGAATCTAATTTGAATGTCTGTATGTGCCTGATGTCTGTGGCTTTGGCTTTCCAAAAGTTGATTGGATTGTCTGTTAACATTGACCTGGTGATTCCTAGTTATGGATCCTGAAATATTAATAAGATTTATGAAATAACTTTCCTTTTAACCTTAACCCACAGGGGACTTTATTGCATCAGATGTGGCTTTGATGTCTCTTTTTCTAGGTACATATGAATCTATATGCTTAAAAACGGAGTGATAAAATCACTTGATTTTAGACTGACAAAAAAGATGCCATTGTGTTAGAATGACCCTTCAGATAGACCTGTAACTGAGCTGGACATTAGGTCTCTATCTTCTAAATTGAAAACTCTTGTTGTTTAAAAAGGTGAGATAAGACAGACCAGTAGTCCACAGCCCAATACATGGATGCTTGGTACATAGCCGTGAATACAGATTAGTCTCATTTTTTGGTGAAATTCGATATTCCTGCGTCCTCTGGGATAGTGAATGAGTACATACTGCACTGGAAATTCATGCCAACTGTAATGGATGGTTGTCATTCTGGGTGAAAGTTGGCAGTGACCGCAGGCAGTGCTGGCATCTAAGTTTGCTAAGCTTTAGTGCTCATCCCTGAATTGATGCTAATGGAATTAGACTTTAATTTTTGTCGTTTTTCCTTTTTTTTTTTTTTTTTTTTTTTTTTTTTTGTCATCAAAATATTCAGTAAATACAGAAGTTATAGCAAAATAATATCTTAGGCTGCATTTAAGTAAGGGCTTTTTTTTGGGGGGGGTTGCATTTGGCTGTGATGGTTAATCTTGGAAACATTAAGTATATGAGCCTTTGAAGTGATTAAAATTTATTAGAAATTACCGTACTCCTGCCTACGCTTTGCTTGATCTGTTTGCAGTCTTGAAATATAATTCTCATCCTAGGTATTGAATAACTTTTCCCCTTTTCTTTCTATATTTTTATCCTCCAATCAGATGTTTCTTTACCTGTTTTTTATATCCCTCTTGTCAGAGAAAAAGTCACTGAGTTATAGTTTATTACCAATTCTATTCCTCTGAGTAAAGATTTACAGCAATTATTGAAACCATTTTTTTTTTCTTAAAGTGAATAGTTCTGTGATATTTAGCGTCCTTTTCTCTTATTGATGTACAGCACTGTTTCCTTCTCTTTTAATTCCCAAAGGAAATGTGGGGAACAATTCTTGGCAAAATTTTTCTCATTATTGAATAAAGAATTGACTGCCATTGCACTCCATTTTCTCTCTTTTTTTATCTGCTTACATATCTGACTGAATTTGACTTCCTCTTAGTTTTACTTGGACCCTTTTTACACCAAGTGGTACTGTTTTCTGTACTGCATTTGTTTGGCTGTACCTAATATTTATTATGTGTGGTGGTAACTTTCATAAGCCCCAATGAACCAGTCAAAATTAATCCAGTTTACTGTCCATGTTGAGCACAAGTTAAACAATACTTACTCTCTAACATAATAGAAATGTTAAGGTTGTCAGTCTTTCAAACTGCAGCAACACAGAAAGCGGTACGATTAGACATGATAAGGATCTTATGCAAAAATATACTTATCTTCTTGAGCAAAGAAATATCTGCACTCTGTTCACTTGTTTAGAGGCTCCTGTTTATTTTTAAGATGAAAGAACAAACTTGGCGCCTACCTTACTCAAAGCTAAACCACTCAGTTCTCTGTGACCCTCTATTTATGCCAAAAGTTCTTCTCTCCTTTTGTTAACAAGAATGATGGATTACAGTTCTTGACACCTTTTTTCTTTGAACATAAAAAAATCACAATATCCTTAAATGTACCCCTCATCTTTTAACCTGACTAAATTATGTTTTTCCTTTCTCTCTCTTTTTCTTCCTACCTAATATATATATATTACATGTAATTTTCACTCTTATTTGTGACGTACAATGATTATTACGATGACTTCAACAATGTTGTATCCTCGTAATGAGTGCCTCACCTGGTCAGGGATGGTTGACCTAATTACTCACCTGAGTTTTGACGTCATTGCCATACTAACCCTCTTCTGGCAAATACGACGAGTCTAGGAATTGATAATTTTGAAATATTTGTCTGAATGTATTACCTCAATAGATAATCTCCATGATCTTCTCATTAAATATATTGAAAAATGAGATGTGTTAATGTAACACTCTGTTGCGTTTTCTGTCGTACAAATGATCGATAATATAGGTATTACATATGCATTATATAGGCATCTCCAATAATCTACTGCTGTATCCTCTGTGTCAGATATATACAATTGATGAGTTTAATCTTGCATTAAACTTAAAACTTGAAAGATAAAATGTAGGCATCTCCAAAATTTACCTTATAGTCCCTGTCTAACAGAAAGCTGTGTGCTCTCTCCCTTTTCTCTCTGCCTTCAGTGTAGGTATTTTTACCATGTTAACTGAAATGGAACAGAAGTCCGTCAAATTCTCATTGCCTTAAAAGTACAATGCATACATCGCCTAAGGTGTGTTTCCAGACAATTAGAGATGACCCATCTTAGGGTTTGATTATTTTGCCAGTGTAAGAGCCTACAACACCTTATTTACAAAGCTAATAGCTGCAGTAACAATTTTTTATTCCTTATATCCTAAGAGTAAAATGCCTAGTTCAATCTAGGCCCGTTTCTAAACAATTTGGCTGGACTGATCTTAGGGGGCTTTCAGAAAAAGTTGAACCATGGAATAACAGATTCACGGATCAAATATGGCCAACCCATTAAAAAACAATTCTGCCTAATCCCCTTATATACGCTGAATAGATCCCCCATGGGGATTATGCAACAAGCAAACAAGTGGAGCGGCCATATTTGATCCGCGGACTAGTTAGTCCAGTGTTGTGAATGCGGCCTTAGGACCAATTCAGAATAGGGGACTAACTAGTCTGCCCCCTTGCAGCTTTAGTAGACGTGACAGACATTTAGGCCGCTTAATCTATATGCAATTTAGCAAGAATCCCCTCAGAGTTAGAACAATGCTGCTAGTATGATAGGTTTATGGGAACCCGGCCATGGATAATACCAAGACCACCTGCTAAGATGAGTAGTATAGAGATAGGTATGCTCAGCATGACTGTAAATGCGACTTAAAATTCCTTATCGACTGGAGGTTTGATTGTCATTGGATGAATGGATGGATATTAACATTGTACTTAGGTTCTTGCAGTCCAGTGAAATGATGGAGCTCTAGAGACAGTAATGTGATAGAGATCATCGTTGAACTATGTTTGCACTAACATGTTAATAGATCCACTGAAAGTCTACATCATCACCTTACTAAAATCTATTATATGCTTCACCAGTCTGCTGTCATTCGTTTTATTAAGCTTAAACATGATTAGTTGTCTCATGTTTTTGTTTTTTTCAGCTGCACACATTAAAAAAATTTAGAGTTCTCCATTAATTTGTATCAGCAAGGAGAAAATTTTGTTTAAATTCCTTTTAGCTACTTTTGAATTCGTTGAAAATCACTTAAGAGAGTGAATCTGATCAGGCTAAATTCTCGAGTGGTTTAAGTCAATTTTGTCACAGTTGTGAAACTTGTAGTATTGAATCATGTTTAGTTCTTACATATATGGAGGTTTGAAAACTTGCTGTCATTATCTCTCTTTGTCTGTTGCTTAATATATGTATTGATTTAAAAGAAAAAAAAAACAGTTTTTAAAGATAGTCTTCCAAAGTGTGCATTTTTAATCCCCCCAAATAAATTAAATAAATACGTACAAAGATAAATTAATTGTATTCCACTTTGCTTAATTGAAGGGAAAATATTTTTAAAGTGAGAATCTTTGGAGTATTATCAAGAAATGGTTGGAAAGGACTCTAAAAATTGTTGATAAAAGAAACCAGACCAATCCAGTTGCATTTTTGTATTACGGCAAAAGACTGCATACAGTCTTACTATCAAAGTGATTTTTTCTCTTGGGATCATTCATACTCATTAGTCCTTATTGTCATGGGTTGATCAGAATCTAGCTGCAAGGGATGTCCAATTTCACCCCAGTCCATTACTGACATATATTTATACTACAAGTCCACCCATATACACGGAGATAATTACAGTTCTCCCAAGTTTTATTGCCAATTATTTAGACTTTGTTAACAGTGATTAAATTGCCTTTCCAAGGTAGTTTATTTTGTAATGTAAAACAAGCATTTAATTTTTTTTTTAAAGTAATCCGTTCTGAAAAGATTAAATGTAAATTAAAACACTCAAACTTATATATTTTAGACAGTTAAAACATATATTACCTTTATTGGTCTAAAGTAATGGTTTATAATTTTCACCCCTTCTTACTGTTTTTTTGCATGTACCTGCATCTTCATATTTATTTTCTTCTATAAGGAATGATGCTTTCTACTCCAAACTCCTTTAGCTTGTATGCTGTGAACTCCTTTAGCTTGTAGCATTCAGTGCACCCATCAGTTCTTATAAACAGCCAGAGATTGAATTGACCTGCTGAGGTTTTTCTGTTCTCTCCTCAGACGCTGCCGCCGTGTGTATTGTCCGCCTTTTTTCGCAGAAAAAAAAGACTGCTTGTGACGTGAATGCCAAAAAGCATGCAATTAGTCGACCATGCCAGCATGCTACTTGATCTCAAGGGAAGACTTGTAATCATTAGTTCTTATTGTCATTGCTTGGACTGAACCGCCAAGGTCTTTCTGTTATCTCAATGGCGTGCAGGTAAATCATGTTATAGGAGTCCTGCCTTTCATAGGGGAAAAAAATAAGGTTGTCTGTATTGAAATACAGAGGAAGTGATGGAGTTGATACTAACAGTGAGAATGCTGCTTTTTTTTCAAGAGTTGAAATCATTTTTATGAATCAAAATTTATGCTTCTTTAGTTGCCCTGTCTATAATTTATGATTTTGTTATAATGTGTGCTCAGTAAATATTTATTGGGAAGAATTGATGCTATCTAAATAGCAAGTTTTAGTTTTTACACAGCATTAGAAAGAATCAAAATTATACTAGCTTTTTTTCATGAGCTTGAAATCATCAACCGTAATGGGCCGCTTTTGAATTTTCTTGCCACTGTCATATAGTTTCCTTGAAGGATAAAGTCGGCAATTATTTATTGCCTTTAAAGAAACCAAGGCTATTTTAATTAAAATTGATCCATGTGCCTTTTTTATCAGTGGTTCATGCTAATGTTATCCAGTAGTTTCTGTCTCTGTTATTTCATTCACTTACAACATGGTCACCGTACACTGCTTTTACCAATTTCCCTTGAACAAAAAAAGAGTTTTATTTCTGATGGAATTGTTCACTATGTCAGTGATGGTACCTTTCTCTAGAGACGCTCTTTAATTATCTTAGCACTCTTCAATGTTGGAAAGTTCCTGACTTGAATTTTCCTGCCTGTGTTTTTCTCTTGTACTCACAGCAAGGTCAGTGTAATTTTACTTTAAAGGGAAAAAATAGACTGATTTTATAATTGAATTGCGCACTATATCAGCCGCGATTCACATGGTATCTTTCTCTAGGGATGCTCGATGATAATCTTAGCACCCGTTGCCATTGTTAGAAAGTACCTGTCTTGAATTTTCCTTTCTGTCTTTTTCTTGTACTCACAGCAAGATCAGCATAACTTTTTTTTTTTCTTTTTTTCTTTTTCTTTTTTTTTTTAGGCGGAGGGGAAGAGGGGAACCAGATACTGTTTGCATTGAAATTGCTCACTTTATCAGTCACCATCCACATATGATATCTTTCTCAAGGGATGCTCCTTGATTATCTTAGCACTCATTGTCACCATTAGAAAGTTCTTGTCAAAGTGTCAGAGGGTGCGCGGGACATGTAGGATGAAGGGTGGAGATGCAGGGGAGAACCAGGTGCTGTTTGTATTGAAATTGCTCACTATCTCAGTCACCATTCACATATATGACATCTTTCTTGAGAGATTATCCCGTGATTATCATAGCTCTCACTTGATGTTAAGAAAGTTTCTGACAGTCATTTTCTGACAATGATTGTCCGAGGTGTCAAGGGACACGTAGGGTGAAGGGTGGAGATGCAGCAGACCAAGCTGACAACTTGCCCAGCTGTTTTTATTAAAGGGATAATAACTCTTAGTATGAGATCTGTATTTCACAATAAAAACATTGTGAACCACTCATAGAAATATAATGTCATTCTGTTTAACCACAAAAATGGAAGTTATAGCTATTATTCTGATATCTGAGCTTGTCTTTAGACCACATTACCTCCATTGAGGGCTATACTCTGTTATAATCTCTTTAAGAGATTATAACAAAAAAACAAAATTTTTAGAAAAAAAAGGGACTAACTTTGAATGTAAAAATGGATTCATTAACCATCGGTAAGTATGGGAAAATTGTTGTTTACTCCAGGAAAAATCATTTTTTGGCCACAACGAAGAGTTATTATCCCTTTAATCACTGGGATTTTAAAAACCTGTGATGGCATGTTGAGTCATGGTGGTCTGAACTATGTGTGCAGTGTAGATATGATTTGGTATCTTTTATAACATTATATTTTATTTGAAAGTGCTTCATTTGTAGAAATAACTGAACATTAATCTAATGGTCACTTTGGTTCCAGACAAACATCCAAATAGGTTTTTTGACACTTACATACATTTTTTTTATATAGAATAGTGAGTTCCTATGAAAGAAACTGACAAATGTTTTTTGTAATTATAGGGGAGGTGCTTTATTACCTTACATGACCCTCAAGTACTTACTACAAATGTCTATCATGTCACTAACATTATCATTATTGTTCTTATGAAGAAAATTATGATTGATTTTGGTTATTATTATCATCATGGTGTATTTTGACAGACAGTTA